CGATAGTTCATATTTTTTACTTTTTATTTTTACACTTGAACTTTGCACTTTTTAAAAAAAAATAATAAAAAAATTCTTTTTAGTTTAACACTTACATTACTTTTTTAAAATTGTTATTTTTCATAAACACAATTTCAATTCATGCATATGAAATTGTTTATCCCATTAAATTATAAAACCCATTTTACATGAAGCTAAACAAGTATAACTGTAAAATATATTAAGCCGCATTTTCGATTTTTTAATTGTGAATTTTTTCAGGTGTATTTTAGGTGCGTTTTTTGTGATTTTTTTTTCGATATTAATCCATCAATTTCGATATTAATTTTTTCGATTATTAAGTCCTGGAATTTTAATTTTTTTTCCATCTTAAAGCTAAGACGTTTTTCTTTGANTATCAAAATTTGGAACTAGGGAGAACTTCCACGGCATGAGATTGCACATAATTGCAAATCATGCTTGAATATTATATCATTTTTTTAAACCTGCATATGTATGCTTAGGACAATAGAATTCAATGCGAATGGCCCTTAAAACCAAAACAAATAATATGGCTCCGGTGAATTATCTATAAATATTAATAAAATGTGAAAGAAAAAAAATTTAAATACACTTTAACAGACTTCCTAAATATGACTGGATCATTAAAATTGCAAAGAATAGAAATACAACTAGATTCGACTTTTATATACATTACACTCATAGCTAAATAAAAAAAATTTTTAAACCTAAATATATATATATATGTAACATAAAAAGCTTCAATTGATCTTTTTATGTTATTTCTTTTCTGTAAATCCTTTTCTTTATTTTATTATTCTAATCGAAACACTTTCTCACACTTCTAAATTCACATCCTGTCCTTTAATCTATTATTGGCTCAAGTATGCAATATTTAAAAGTAAGACATTTTTCCCTTTGCTCTTTGTGGGAATGATACGACCTATTTAATAAACCAATTACAATTACAAAGATTTCCCTTATTCCCTAATCTGAAACATTTTACGGATCTACTTTGCAAGATTTTCTCTAATTCATATCGAGGGGCACAACTTTTTCATGACCACTTTTATAGCTGTTATCTGTCTAATAATTAATAAATAAATTTTGTACTCTCCTTCTCTGCCCAAGTCCTGTTTTGATCCTTCCACTCGGCAACGACATTATATAGTAATATTACAGAAAAAATTAGAAAAATAATACCCTTAAGGAAAATATCTATTGTTATTTGCTTTGAACAATATTTGCATTTCTTTCATAAAAGATTATTTTTTTATTTTTCGGATTACAAGTATTTTGACTGAAAATATTGTTTTGCGTTATTGAGGTTTATTATTTATTATTATTATATATTTATGAAGGTTTATTATACGCTTAGTTTACTTAATGTTGTATGTTCACAATTGCAGTATATTCCTACTTTTACAGGTTGATGCACTTGTAAATCCATTGTCCTCTTCCATCAAATCTGTGGGTCATATGGTAAAGCAAGTTCCTGATTCTTTCATGGATGGCCTTAAGGATGGGATTGTAAAAGTGTTGGGAAATAGAGGATCATCGCCCGTTAATCAACCAATACCAGAAATAAAGATCTCTACCACAATTGAAGAAGTACTCTAATTTATTTCATCATAGTTATTTGAAATGTTTTGAAAAAATCTTATTTTAATAAGATCAATTATATATAACTAAATCATGTACACTGTGCAATGTTATTAATGTTGAAGCTCTTAGAGCAGTTTTATTCAGCATTAGTACCCAAATAACATTTTAATTATGTTTTTGTTGTAAATTTAAGTTTTAGATAAATGAAAATAAAGATGTTAGAGTTATTTAAAATATAAGTAAAACACATAATTTTTTGTAAAACATTCTCAACATTTTTAATGTTATTTTATTATTTCTGTAGATTTATGTGTCATAAATATTATCTAAAAACTACCACTACCTCTTAAGTTTCTTTTATGAGGGCTCCATCGTCATATGAAATGATGCTTTTTGTATATAATATGCTATTTTCATATCTGCTGTGATGAGATTTCAACAGTTACTCATGGCTGTTATTTCAAATTTAGCCTACCTATAGCCAGTGCTCTTTGTAATTATTCTGAAAATGACCCAAAATGTAAACATGGAGAAAATCCACATTTTTGTGAAATTGAAAAACGTTTTTGACCAAGTTTTTAACATTTAAAACTTACTCCAATGCTGACTATATGGGCTCATTAAAATTTTCAAAATCTGAGATAAGGCAGGAATTTTGATAATTTTCATCTGGGTGGAAAAATGTCACTTGATATGCAGTTTTTTAAGAATATAATAACTTTTAAAATACTTAAGTTATTTTTCCATTCTAAAGCCTAGATGATTCTTCACAGCAAGATTGTATATATAGGGTGCGTACAGACTCCTTAAAAACTTCTTGGAAATAAAAAAAGTCTCCAAGGAGTACTTGGAGCTACTTAGATTTCTAAATTAGTCCTTAGAAACTCCTTAGTTGTGTTGCACAGATGAACTTACTAAGTACGCTGATGAATTTGCTGTCCAAACAGGGAAACTAAATGATATGACTTAGCTGTCAAAATCTAATAGTTTAAGAAAAACTTTAAAAGACAAAAAAATTGAATTGTAAGAGTTAGAAAAAAAATAACAACAGAAGAAAAAAGTAACAGCAAATAATTTTAATTTTACATGTTACAAGCAAACATAACTAATAATTTACTGTGATTTTTTTTTGTTTTGTTGTTGCATAAAATTCCTTAGATTTTCTTATGTATTCAAATTTAAAAATATAAGATTGGAAGGTTTTTATGTTAAATCTTGTTAAAGTACAAGTGTTAAAGATTATTAAAATATTTGAAACTGGAAAATGTGTTTACGTGTAAAAGCGATAACTTTATTTATTTTTCTTGATGAAGTTTGACAGAGTCAAAATTTATTTCAAAAGGGCTAGAAAAAAATATGCAAACTATACATTTTTGCGAGTTCCTTGTAATAATTGCTTTTTAATTAAAAAAGAAACTGTATAGTTATCTTTTACACAAAGTTTTTTAATTTTTGATAAGTCCTTAAAATTTAGGTCTCCTTGGATACTTCTTGGATTTCTTCTTCTGATCTCTGTATGAACCCTGTATGTAAAATTGTTAATAAATTATAGCTTCGCTACAAGTGTAAGACACTTAAATTGTTACTTTTTTTATTTTCTTTGGCAAAACAGCTTTGAAAAACCATGTTTATAGGGTTAAAATTTTTATACATATTCAATTAATTGATTTTTTTAAAAAAGGAAAATTGTTCTAATTGCATTAGATTATCATTATAACTTTCTAGTCAGGAAGGGAGTTAAAATTTGTGTATCCGATTGATTGACCTTACAAATGTCTTTGTAAAATGACAATTTGCATTGAGCCTTTGAGTAAGATTTTCAGAAACTTCCTTACTACTCATTATTCTCCCATTTCGCTATATTATGAGGAAACCTGAGTATCAGGAAAGCTAACAGTTGAAAGTTCCACAAAGATGGGACAAATTATCTTAGGGTTATTATATAAGTATTATTTTTTGTTTCCTCTCATTTCTTTGATACTTACTTATTTTATTTATTTATTTATTTATTTTTTGTTTGCACACAAATGATGATCTTAATAAATGAGTTCTCTTACATGGTTCCGATGGTGTGCCCTTTTAAACGTTTCAATGTGCAAGTTGTAAAGACTGCTCAGTTGCCAAGTTTTTAAAAAATCCAATTTATATTTTCCACGTAGCATCATTATTTTTTATTTAGTAACAATTCTTTCTGTAATTAAAATAATTTGTAACAAAACAACTCTATATAATTATAATTAGAGCCCTATATAATTATAATTAAAGCCCTATATAATTATAATTGGAAATAATATGATTGGATTTTTTCACAAAGTTATGAAAGAAATTCACCCTGCTCCAATCAGGTTCTAAATTTTCTTATGCTTATTTTTATAAATTTTTATTCTAATGAAAAAGTTAATTTTTGAAATGCACTTGGTACAAAATTTTGAATAACCATCTGAACATTAGTCTTGGTTTTTTCCAAATTTTCAGATTCTGACTTTCCTGCATAAAAAAAACTAGTTTTTTCCATGTTCAGTGGGAAATAATGTGAGAGGGAATTTCCGTAAACTTTTTCCCATGGGCCCAACTTTTAGATTTTTATATTAATGTTGTCCTTTCTTTTATATGTGCTTGTTAATTTTCTAGCTTTAACATATATATTTTTCTTCTTAAAAAACTGATATATTTATTTACTAGATTTATTCAATACCGGTTTTACTTTCAGGGGGAAGATAACATACCACTTAGAATTTTAATTCTTCTTATGGATGAAGTGTTTGACCTAAAAAGCAAAGACCAATGGTTTCGAAAGCGAATTGTGATTCTTCTCCGTCAAATCATTAATGCAACATACGGTGATGCTATAAATAGGTAATTTGTTCATTTTTTTAGGAAACTATTACATTTATCATTAAAATAATCATTTGAAAGTTTATTAATATTGCATACCATTTATAGAATAAGCTTGGATTACGAGACTGAACTAAACGAAATTAGTCTTGGAAAACAGTTGTAATTCTTGCTGCAATGTAATAGCTAAACAAAATATTAAATTCATTATTTCTGCCACAGTCAATGAGAACCATTTTAAATATTTTATGTGATCAGCAGTTCAATTCTTATACAATTTTGCATTCTGTGTCAGTATTATACATTTTTTCTTGATTAATTTTATCCTGATCCATATATTTTCTTGTGAAATAGAAAATATATGATCCATATATTTTCTTGTTTATTTTTACTATAAAATCCAAATCAAATATTTTTTGTGTTTATCATTAATTAATTATTTTTATCCTTATATTAAAATCGTTAATTTTTAATACCATTAAAATGGTTTTTAATCAAATTAATTAGTAGTTTTGATATGCCAGCATTTGTTATTCTTAATTAAATTATATTTTTTGCAGGAAAATAGTAGATTTTGTTCAAAAAAGTACATCTGCAGAGCAGATGGCAGAATACATTAAATCATTTAGGTAAATTGTGACTATATTATTCATTTTGAAAGTTAAATTTTAATTATGTGTCAGTAATATCCTTAAACAATCATAAATTTTGTTGTTGTAGAGAAAATTTATGGCCTAGTGGTGCTCCTGCTGTACCCACACCTGAAAGAGAGTTAAAAACTAAGATGAGGACAAGAGTGGCAGCAAAGTTATTAATGCTCTGTTCAATACCTGGTGAATAAATTTTTTTAGTCATTTATGCCATATATCAAGAAAAAAATCACATTTATTTTTTTTCTTCATGTAAAATAATGTATTATTATCAAAGTCAAGTGATTATTTTTTTTAAAACTTTTAATTAAACATTTATTGATTCTTGATCCCATAAAGAAAGCTTAAACAAATTTGAGTATCTCTTTTTTAAAGAGATACTCAATATGCACGTGACTCGTGACCTTTATTTTGGGAGTTACTTTGGGAGCTTTATTTGATTTTTGTACAAATTTTAATTTTCTATCGTTTAATTTATTTGCGAATTATAATTTGTGTAAAGATTTACAAAATTCGAAAGAGTAAATAATTAGTGCATTTTTCTGCCTACAAAATGCGAGAATATTGCATATAATATTAGAATTAAGATATTACTTTTATAATTAAAATTTTTTAAACATTTTTATTCTATACTTTCTTCTGAAAACACAATGTTTCTGTTATTTTAAATTAGTGATTGTTATAATTAAAATTATCTTAAAGCAAAATATTAGTTCTAGGGAAGTTTGTCGCTGAAAGCCTGAAAAAATTCTGCCATAGAGATTTTGAGTATTTTAAATATTTTGTACTCATATTGCTTGAAAAAAATAAATCTTTATATTTTTTATTTTACTCAATCAAATAAATATTGCTTTATTTCAGATGAATTGAAGCACGTTATCGGTAGTGAAACAACTCGTAAAGGTGTTTTGTGTGTGTTTGAAATGTTCCAAAGATCAGAATTGAATCGTAGACTTAGCTATGTTCTTCTTGAAGGAATATTAGAAATCTTATTTCCTGGATGCAATTTAACAACCATTATTCAGAGGCTACATTGCAGATCTCCCCAGAATATATTCGACCAAATGGATCGTATGCAAGTCAGTCCAGTTATTGAAAGAAAATCTCAGTTGAATAGGTGACAAACTCCAGATCAGTATTAATGGCATTTGTCTTATGTATATAATAGTGTCTATAATGTAAAGAAATTGTCATATTTGAAAGATTTTTATAAAATGTTGTGACTGTTCCTGCGCAATGGCTCTGAAACACCTGTTTTTTCTCTATTATGTTTTTAATCTGGGCTATTTACAACCATTAAATTAAGCTCTCAAATGATTATTCTTTTAGTAATCATAATTTATTGTATGATTAGCCTTCACTATCAGGAATGCTAATTGTACAGAGTTTTTTAAAACCTTGTCAGAATCTATTTTTTTTAATGATCTCTTATTTCTAGTATACATATTTTTATTTATGAATGATTTTGTATTTTATTTTTTTTCACCCAAATTTTGTGTTTGATTGAATTTATTTCATAAACTGAAATTAAAGCATCCTTCCCAGGGTTTTCAATATTTTGATTGCTGATCTACCTGATGAAAATGCACTATAACTCTTTTATTGATAGGGAAAATTCGACTCATGAAATTTCAATTATATGTTTTATTTAACATTTCATTGTTATTACAAAGTATAATAAATGCATCTGTTAATTGTTGAAAATTAGTTTTGTGAATATGGAGGAAGTTTTAAAAGTTGGCATTTCTACAGTAGTGTTTTATTTATTTCTATTTATTTATTTTTTCTATTGTATTGATTCTATGTCTTCAGTCATACATACTTAGTTATTTATTTTTAGTGCTAAGAAAATAATATAAATTGTATTTGTAATTGTTTGGCGTGTTAAATTTTTTAATCTATATTTTTAGTAATCATTAACACTACTATACCATGTTTTTTTTTAATATATATATATATTACAAGAAACTCTACTTTCTTAATTTTTATTTCTTTTTTTCTCCTTTTCTAGATGTAAGACTTAAAATTATTCTTAAATTTGTTTAATTTTCTTAAATAAAAATGAAAGTGTCCTTAATGGCCCTTTATTTTTTAAAAATTTTAGTAAATGTTCCAAAAATTTTGCCACTTTCCAAGTTTTTGTTGAAGTTTACCGAAAGAATAAATATTAAATTGTTTCTAAATAAGAATTGTATAAAATTTTTTAAAAAAATTATATATTTTGTTTCTACAAGACGTTTTCACATACCTTTCTTTAAAAAAAAATCATAACTTTCACAAAAATGTTTTGCTCAAGTGCGAGTGCTTCTAAAACTATCACCAATTGTGTAGCTGAGACAAATCGTACAAATTGCTTCCACTGGAGAATCAACGTCTTTAAATTTGGATATAATTAAATTCATAAATTTTATTTTTTAGGCTTCCGGTATTTTTCTTTGCATTTTTCATCCGAGTCTTTATTTATCTTTGTTTTAAAGTCTGTTATTAAAACACATATTATGTTTCTTTTACTTACTAATAAGAAATCACTTAGGATGTGTAACTGAAGGTAACTAGTTTTTATTTGAAAAAAATTTTTTAAGACATTCCTATTTAATAAAGTAATTGCATAAACACAAACATTGTATTCTTACTCATCATTCTCAAATTAAGTTCCTGTTATTTATTGTTAAAATATAAATTACCTATTGTGAGAAACAATTAAATTGTTAAGTATCATTCAACTGTTAAGTTTGCTAAGCATTTGAATAGTATGTTCCAAAATATATATATATATTGAAAACTTTAATGACATATAATTTGTAGCTGTTTAATGCATTGATTTTTGAGAAAGAATTCATTGTTAATGTATAGTTTTTAATAAAAAATTGTGTCTTTTAAATTTAGCTCAATTTATTGTTAATATTTTTTTTTTTTAAATCTTCTTATATTAAAGCTTGTAAATTGCAATTAGAGTATCATGTTAAATGTTAACAAAGAAACTATTATGAAGAATGCAATATGAATTGGTAGACTATTAGAACTATCTGATATATCTTGGTGTTAGTTCTGTGAAATATTTTATGCATGCGAAAAAAATAATTTATATCATTTACAAGATTATTTGTTTTACGCTTGTTAGAAATGGTTTTTAACAAGTAATATTTATTAGATATTTTACGTATATGAGATATTATGCACTAAAAGCAGCTGATGGCTACTTTGCTATTATCAACTAAATTATTACTTCTTTAGGATGGATTTTATAAATATTTTAATTTAAATGTTTTAAAGCCATTGCCGAAAAGTTTTATTAAAAGTAGATCTGATATTATGTCATATTATATTGTAAATACTTTTCGAATTTTATAATTTTTTGAATTCAAGGAAGTTCTATAATTATGAAAACAATTTGAAATTTATAATCTTACTGAAAGTGAACATTTTGTTTTTGAATTTCTCTTTTAATATTTTGATATAAAATGTATAGGCTCTATTTTCTATTTGTTAAAGAAAAAAAACCAACTCCTATTGATTTTTACTTATTGTTAGATTACTTCAATACTATTTGATAGATTAAGCCTTAAATAAAGAAATTCATGTAAATGTTTTTTCATAAAAAAATTGCTTTTAATGAATGACTCAAAACAGTGTGATTATTTGTTAAAATTAAAAACCTTTTTAAGATGCATCAAAAAGTTTAAGTTAGTTATGATGCATTTAATTGTGCTTGGGGGCAACATTTCTGTATTCATTAATTTATAAAATCTATTTTAAAGATTTTAAAAGAAATATTGTAAGCGTTTGTTTAAACAAATGAAATTTGAATAAAGCATTATGAAAACTTTCATTATAACATACATTTTAAAAAGTGTTTTAAAAGTTATAGGTGCATATAATTATTTGTAATTTATATTTTATGAAACTACTTATTTGTTAATTTCTAGAACAAATTTTTGAATTTTTTTATTTTATTTGAAAAGGAATATTAATTGAATCAAGGAATTTTATAAATTTATCTGGTGCTTGGAGTCTTTTGCATAGTTAGGTTTAAAGGAAATTATTTAATTTATGATGCTAAACTTGATATATTTGATTGTTTTTTTCTTTTTTAATATATATTTCTAGTCAGATTTCTTTTGATATATAATGTGATAACTATAGCATGTAAATACAAAAACCCATGTTTCATAACTTTTCTGCTGCTTAATAACTTGAATCATAAATCTTATAGCTTATGTTTTTTTTTTCTTCCAAGCTAGCAAATTTTCAGCATAATGCAAAAAAAAAAAAAAANTAATGCAAATAAAAATAAACAATGTAACATATCTTCATTTTCTTATAGTTCTAGGCATTTTTTTAAATCTTGTTTTAAGAATGGTTGGTTGAAACTGTTGATGATACTTGTTAGATTTGTGACAAATGTGTTGTCCATCGTTAATTATTATGTTGATCAAATTTTTGTTTAGAATTTAAACGAATATTTTTATTGAACAATTACATTAAAAATGAAAATAATCTTTGCATTTTTGAACAAATTTAATATATTTTTTATGTTTTCATAGTTTCAAACTTTTTTCTTCATGTGTCATTATAAGTACAAATCTGGTATAACCAAATGTATTTGACTAATTGTCTTTCATCCTGTTTATATTTTAATTTATCACTTTATTATAAAGCATTCTTTAAGTACAATGTAATAATTTCTTTGAACAAAATTATTTTTTCACTTGTTTCACTTTTGATTTTTAATTATATTTTTCATTTTTAGATGAACCATTTAAATTTAAAATAATCAAAGTAGTTTTACTGTTTTAAATACACTTAAGATTTTATTTAACTTTAAATTAAAAATTATAGTGTGTTATTAAATTGAAAATTAAATAACACATTACTGCAAAACAGCAAAATTTACATTTACAATGAATTTATTTTGAAATGTTAGGGAGGATTTTATAAAGAAAATTTACTGTGAAAACAGTTATGCCTTCTGAAAAATAAATTTATTCCTAAAAGTTAGCAGATAAACTGTTAAAATTGAATGTTAGGAATAACTTTAAAAATTGATGAATTAGAAATAATAATGATTTTATTCGAAAAACTTACTATGGAGACAGTAATGCTTACTGAAACATTAATATGCGATAAATAAAATAACGAAATTAAGGATAATTTTCAAAATAAATTTATAAAATTATCTTTCTAGTATATTATTTTATGAGTAAAATTTTTTTTTAAAGTTCAGTTATTTTTGAGCAGTTTTACCCAATAGTGGTTTAGCAAAAGGGCAAAATTGGGAGAATGTTTTTCCCCTATTTATTAACTTGAAAAAACCAGTTTTGCTATGAAGAGAAGACTGCAAGTTAAAATGAAACCTTTTACATGCAGAACCGTCAGAGGGTTAGGAATAAAGGAACAACTTTATTTTAGAAAATTGTGTTCATAATATTTCACTGTAATGTTTTTTTATTTGTTAGAAATTTACTATTCTTCATGAATTACTTATTAATAGAGAAAAATCAAATAGAAATGTTACTGTCTGAACACTTCAAAAAATTTATATTTTAAATAAATTAGTTATGAGAGAAATAGGAATTCTAAAATATTCTTAAAATTATAGTATTAACGCTTATTTGGTATTTAGAATCAAGTTATGGTGCTTTTGTCTTCGGATTTTTGACTTATAAAAGTTTTAAGGCTTTATAAAACTATAAATTTTTTAAAATAGTATTTATACTGCATTTTTTTCTTTTTTTGATTAGTTACAAAAATAGTTTTTATAAATGAATCATTTTAAAAACCCATAATTATTATTAGCAATTGTCAAAGTCACCAAATCTGTTTTTAAATATCTGTGATCAAACTCTTGATAATTAAATGTTCCATCGGTGCTTTATCTGTTAAATTTGAATTGCTGTTACAGTTTAAGATTAAAAATCTAAATCTTTGTAGATCATGTGTGTTTTCACATCTTTTATATAATTCGATTTATGATTTTTAAAGAGAATGAGGAATTTTTTCTATTCTCATTGTTCTATACAATCTATTTTTATGATAAATTCATAGAAAAGAAAACAAAAATAAATTTCAAAAAATTTAAAAATGTTAATTATTTCATTAATGCTCTGTGCCCAAAATAAAAAACGGACCACCCTGAATAACTTTTGATATAATGGTCGGATCTTCACATTCTAGGACTCAATCTTAATACTTTGGTGGACTGATCTCAAATATTCTAAATAATTAGTGCAGACAATATAACTTATGGAATCAAACATAAAAACATACTTTTTCTGAATTAACTTTTATTTCGACGGATTTGGATTTCTGACCCCCATAATGTAAGGGGTAGTCCCAATTTAGGAAATATGGTCCCCATAATTTGATTTGACGAGCAATCCTAAGTTTGCACCCCTTAATGTTAATTTTATTTTTTTGTGTATTTCACCAGATCTCAATAACTTCTTCAGTGAATTGAAAATGTTTTACACACAACTATAAAAAATTTTTATCCAAAGATAATTTTATGCAAAAAATTAGTAAAATTTTTTATTTAATTAATAATAGTTGACAACTCTTAAAAGTTGATTATTTAGAAACCATTTGACCGATTTCACTCTTAATTCTGGATTTTGCCACTTAAAATTAAATACTTCAAAATGACGTAAAAAATTTTATACTTTACCATTCAAAATTTTTTTGACTTATTAAATAAAATGATAAATATTTAAAAAATTTTTCTTCGTGAAACTATCTTAAGATAAATGATTGTAAGCAAAAATATTTCACTTCCCTTGAAAATTTCTCGAGATATAGTCAAATATGCGAAAAGTAAAATTAACAAGGGGTCCAAATTTTGGAGCTCTCCCCTAATCATATTCCGCAAATTGCAGCTACTCTATATTTTGGGGGTCAGAAATTTGGAT